TCCACACTTTTTGAAGGGCAGAAATACAGAGACCTGGTGCACAACGTGTCACAAGGTCCCCAAACGACCCTCAGCAGGTTTTGAATTCAGAGTTGTCCTTCTCCTAGACCAGTTGCCATCCAAGGCTATAGAACCTAGTCTATCCTGCTATTCAACCATAGCTGTAGGGAGAAGAGGAGGATTAATACATTTCCCAAGGGTAATAGCACGCAAGTGAATGTAATATATTCGGCTGGAATTCGAAGTCGGCTCTCCGATTCCTCAATCCATGCCGCTATCCATTACTCCACCATGCCAAATTCACTATAATTGAGAGAATAGAAATGTTCAGAGCAGATAACTTTAGAAAGATTTTAGAGTTCCATGAAAATAAGTGGATGCAACGTTTAAAAACGCATTATCCAGACGGACTAAATCATAAATTTAACAATATAGATATTATTAATATATAACCCCACAAATCAGGACCTACCCACATTTTTCACCCACACAAGACAGACATGCTCTACAAAGCGTGGAGGCCTCACACTTATACACACACCCACACGAATATACACACTTACACACATACTCGCTCAGTCCATAATGAGCCAAATGACAACACACACCGATAGTAATATACACGCTTACACACATTATACTCACTCACTCCCTAAGAACAAAATAACACACACATACACACACTTAACAGAGACACATTCCCTTTCCAGAAACTAATAAAACTGTTAAAATGATGAAGGGAATTCAGAGCAGCATGAATCCAGCCAGCTCTTATCTTAAATAACAATAAGGAGAAACTGTTTGAGCAACACAAGTGCTGACCAAAATTAATGTTAAAAAAATTTTTTAAAAAAGACAAAAGAAAAAACAAATGAAAACTACAGACAAATGTTCATTTTCTCCACCAAAATATTCATTTCTGTAGTTCACTGATACCAGCAAGCAGGAAATTATTTTTCTCCTGATGATGGCCATGTTGGCCGAAACTAGTCGAGGAATCTAAATGAAATAAAATAAAAAGAAGGAATATTAATAGACAACCCAGTGTGTCTGAAGATTTTAATTTTTTAATATTTTTATTGTTCAAAATATGCATTATATATATATATATATATATATATATATATATATATATATGCAATGAATAAAATTGATGGTTAAGTCCAAATGGTATGAAGTTTTGATTGATTTGATTGAAAATGTGGAATATCTGTGTACGTTTCTTGCTTCTAGGTCATTATCCTTGGTTGGGCTGGTTACATGCGCCGAATCTCTCACTGCTCTGTCGTTACTATCATGGAAAGTGCTCGGACGAACTGTATCTTCTGCTTCCACCAGGTTTAATATTCATGACGAGGCCTCGCCATGCCACTTACATGATAGCAAACCACCTACATTACTTTCGTATTCCATCGGCGAGTAGTAAGTTCCACTCAAACAGCCTCTTCCCGCGAACCACTGCCCTATGGAACAGACACCCAAGAGGATGTTTCCCTGATCACTAGAATCTTAACTTGTTCAAGTCTAGAATCAACCATTACCTTCCCCACCTACCAATATAAACTACCCCTTAACGTAACACTCCACCACAAGTGGCAGCCGATTGTTGTATAGGGTTAAACTTACTAATTAAATTATTTACATTATTTATCACAACGTTTCGGCCATTACTCCATCCGGTCTTCACTTGGTGCTTGTCTTTTAATTGTCGAAATTTGTCCATTTCGTAGTGTGTGTGTGTATATATATATATATATATATATATATATATATAAATAATAACTCATTTCCAATAGCATTTTTCGGATACAACAATACATATATTTTCGTTGTCCTCTTATTACTGAGAGAAAAAACAAGAACAACATCTATTCCTGAAGATGTCTGTAGGAACAGACGAAAGCTTGTAGTAAAAATAAGAACTAATGCAACAGAAATTTATAGAAACAAGGATCTTTTCATTCATAACAGGTTCGGGTTTTTTTGTATATTATTTGAATTGTTTGCGACGATGGATTTCTCGCCAATTAAATCATTAACCTTTGCATTTGTTTTTGTATGAATAATTCATGAATTTGTAAATTGATTGCACGTTTATCGAAATTAAATATATAAATATATATATATATATATATATATATATATATATTTAAGCATTTCACCCCAAGCAAGGCGGGAAGCCACTAGGATTCAAGGGGTTACAGAAAATAGCAAGATCAGATAGGAGTGATAGAAGAAAGGATGAGGGTAGTAGATAGATTAAGGCAACTGGAGATGTCGATTGACATTACACTTGAATAACTGGAGATTATAGCTCACAGGGAAACAAGAGAAGGGAAGAGAGTTCCACAGGCATGAGGTGCGAGACATGAAACTATTAGAGTAGAAGAGACGGCTACATTTAGGAGTTTCGACAGTGAAGGGGTGAGAGCGGGATGCCAGCCTCGCAGGGCGCTGGAACTCATGACGTCTGGGAACCAGCGAATGCAGCTCCTCGGAGTAATTTCCATGAAAGTATTTGTAGAATATATATATACACAACATTAGCGATTTAGTAAGTTTAGTTTATATGTGTAGCATTGCAGCTCACACCAGACACCCGTTTCTTTCGCAGTGTATAACTTCTTCCAGGTGAACACGGCTTTACGAAAATTCAAC